CTTCATCATCTCCTCTTCCTCCTTTTCTTCCTCCTTCTTGCTAGTATCATTATCATTATCATTATTATTATTATTACCAATAAAGGAAGTGGAATTTGACTGTTACTCAGCGAATTTCAGTGTTTCCTGATTATCTTTAGGATCAAATATAAAGTCCTCCACTTAACAATAATTAAATAATTAATTGAATGCTACAACCACAACTACTATCAATAAACAATTAAATTAAATAACAATTACTTGTTAATTATATTAAATATATTAATAAATAATTATTGCCATTGCTGGCTTAAATAATAAATAGATAATTAAATCTAGGTAACAGGGACCATGAAATATATTTTGTCTTAACATGAAGAGCAACTTCCTAACAATTCAGGCTAGTAGAATCAATTGGAAACTAAGTAGTTCAAAATCTTTGCTTTTTAGTGGAGGACCCTGAGGTCAAAGAAATAAGAAAAGCTTTGCTCAAGGCATTAATTAGAACTGTCCAAAAGGGGGAGATGGGGCTGTTTCATGGAGTGATGAGCTTATTTTCACTAGAAATGTTTAAGAAGAGGTTGGATAACTAATATTGGAGATGTTGGGAATTTATGATTTGGGTAGCAGCTAGGCTAGATGATTTTATAAATTCTCCCCAATTCAAAGATTCGGTTATTATAGCATCAGATAATTATATTTTATTTTTTACATTTTAATAGTATTTTATTTTTCCCCAATTACACGTCAAGATAATTTTTTAGAATTCATTTTTACAAAATTTTAAGTTCCAAATTTTTCTCCCTCTTTCTCTCCACTCCCCACTTCTGAAAATGGTAGGCAATTTCATACAGGTTATACATGTGCTATCATGTAAACATATTTCCATATTAATCACAGTTGTAAAAGGAGAAACAGTCAAAAGGAAAAAGAAACCATGAAAAAGAATTAAGTGAGAAAAAATATACCTTAATCTGTATTGAGAGTTCATCAGTTCTTTATCTGGATATGGATAGCATCTTCCTTCATGAGTCCTTTGTACTTGTCTTGAGTCACTGTGTTTCTGAAAAGAGTTTTCTTGATTCTGCTCATTTCACTGCATCAGTTTGTACAAGTCTTTCCAGGTTTTTCTGAAATCACTTATCGCGCAACAGTATTCCATTGTATTCATATACCACAGCTAGTTCAACCATTCCCAATTTGTGGGCATCCTCTCAATTTCCAATATTTTGCCACCACAAAAAGGACTGCCATAAATATTTTTGCATGCATAGGTCCTTTTCCCTTTTAAAAATATAATTTGTTTTTAGTTTTCAACATTTATTTCCATAAGATTTTGAGTTTTAAGTTTTCTTCCTATCTCTACCCTCAGCCTGCCCCAATTTGGCTTGCAATCTGATATAGTCTCTACATATACGTTCATATTGAAACTATTTTCACAATAGTCATGTTGTAAAGAAAAATTAGAATCAGTGGGAGAAGCCATGAGAAAGAAGAAAAAAACAAAAAAGAAAAAAAAAGAGATCAAATAATGTGCTTCAATCTGCATTCATACTCCATAGATCTTTTTCTGGATGTGGACAGGATTTTCCATCATGAGTCCTTTGAAGTTGTCTTGGATCGTTGCATTGCTAAGAGGAGATGAGTCTGTCAAAGTTAGTCTTCTCATTGTGTCTGTTACTATGTGCAATGTTCTCCTGCTTCTGCTCGCTTCATTTAAGGATCAATTCATTTAAGTCTTTCCAGGTTTTTCTGAAGTCCACTTGCTCATCATTTCTTATGGCACAAACATATTCCATTTCATTCATATACCACTTCCCCAGCTGATGGGCATTCCCTCAATTTTTAATTCTTTGCCACCACAAAAAGACTTGCTATAAGTACTTTTGCACACATAGGTCCTTTTCCATTTTTTATGATCTCTTTGGGATACTGACCTTGTAGTGGTATTGCTGGATCAAAGAGTATGCACAGTTTTACAGCCCTCAGGGCATAGTTTCAAATTGCTCTCTAGAATGGTTGGTTCAGTTCACAACTCCACCAACAATGGATTAGTGTTCCAATTTTCCCACATGCTCTCCAACATTTATCATTTTTCTATTTTATCATGTTAGCCAATTTGATAGATATGATACCTCAGTGTTGTTTTTATTTTCATTTCTCTAATCCAAAGTGATTTAGAGCACTTCTTCATATGTCAGCAGATAATTTTGATTTCTTCATCTTAAAACTGCCTATTCATATTTTTGACCATTTATCAATTAGAGAATCAGATAATTTTAGAAAAGTAGATTGGAGGTCAGATTATAGAAGACATTGAATGCCAGGAGAAGAAGCATTAATTTAATTTTTTTTTTAGCCAATGTGGAGACATAGAAGCTTTTTGAGCAGGGAAGTGACATAAGCAGAACTTTCTATTAGCATAGCTAATCTGCCACTAGCACAAAAGAGAGATTGTAGGTAAGAGAAAGAGAAGACAGATTTATTGGAAGGCAGTTTTATGTAGGAATTCTAATGTACCCTGTTGTTCTTTATAAGCAAAGATGGCAAAGCCATTAGAGACTTCTGTCTGTGTGGAAAAGCTACTGAAAAAATTAACACATTACTTTCATTCTTTTTTTGGTCATCTATACCACTACCCACTACCCCTTACTACCTAAATAGAAGCTCTCTCTTGTAATGAATAAATGTCATCAAGCAAGATAAACCAACACACAAGCCATGTCTAAAAATAATGTCTCATTCTCTATCTCCAATCCATTACTTTTTGGATAAGAGGTGAGTGCCATGCTTTATCAACACTTTTCTCAGGCCATCACTGGTCACTTCATTGCTCACAGTTTTATAGTCTTTCAAAGCTGTTTGCCTTCAGACTTTTGTGGTCCTGTGTAAATTGTTCTGCTGATTCAGCTCATTTTGCTCTGTATCTATCAGTTCACACAAGCCTTCCCAGATGTTTCTTAATCTGTATTCATGATGCAGTAATACTCCTTTATATTCATAGAGTAGAGTTTGTTCAGCCATCCCCCAATTTATGGGCACCCTTCCTTCCACAACAAAAAGGCCTACACTACTTTCCAACACACAGGTGGTGATCTTCTTTACTCTACACACATGAAGACATTCTTGGCATTATGGCTATAGATATCGTTTGTCAGCTTTTTGCTTTTTGTGACTTTGGCTTATTAATGCCATTTAGCATGTCAGTGTTTTAAGGGACTGCAGAAGGCATCTAACAAACCTGTCTATTTTAAAGATAACTAATCTGAAGCTCTGCAAAAGGGTTCATCATCCTTGATTCCTACATGGAAATCTAGTCTTTATGGTGCTGCAAGATTCCAACAATCTGTAGTGTGGTATAGGAGAAAGAGAGCTGGATTTGGAATCAAGGGATCAACTTTATAACTCTGTGACTCTGGGGAAGTTACTTGGCTTCTCTGGGCTTCAGTTCCCCATCTATAAAATGAGGTCAGAAGGAGGTTAAACCTCTAAGGTTCCTTTTTTAGCTCCAATCTATGATCCTATAACCTTACGTTTCCAATTAACCACTGAATGGAATTCAAGCTCCTTAACATGGCATTCAAGACCCTTCAAAGTCTTGTCCCATTTTATCTTTCTAGTCTTATTTCCTGAGACAACCCCAACACAGACCCTGTATTCTAGCAAAACTAGTCCATTTGCCATTTCCCATAGAGGAGTGGTAGAATCCTGTCTACACACTTTTTGTTTTGCCATTTCCTCTCCTTGGATTGCCCTCTAGATCATTTTGTTTCTTCTTCCTTCTCTCTCTTCCCCTCCACCTCTCTAGCCTCATCTTTGTCTAGGAAACTACCCCATGCTATAAGATTCAACTGAAAGGTAACTTTTCTTCCTCCATGAAACTTTCCATGATTAGCCCAGCTAGATGGGATCTCTCCCTGTGTCGCCAGCAATCAAATAGTGCTCTGAACGGAAGAGCGCGAAATGAACTTGAGACATGGGCCAGGTGGAGCAGCAGAACTGACTCAGTTTATTGATCTGAGGGTACAGGATACATAGAGAAACTCTAGCCTAACTTCAAAGAGTCCTCCTCGTAAGATACTCCCCAGAACATCTGCTCAGGATGTGACAACATACATTTCCTCGTTATCAGGGTTCCTAGATTGGATTGTATTTTCCAAGGTTTTCTCAGGTGCCTTGGTGCCACCTGCATTCAAGAGTGCCACTGACCCCATTTATTAATTATTTCTACCATGATTAATAAAATGATCAATTACACAGAAACTATGTCTCTTCAACTTTTTATATGTCCCAAGTTACAGCTGAAAGACTATGGATAGGCTATGATAGAATGTGTACACAATCTCTTTTCTCTACTTCTTTATCATTGCATTGGTTGAAACCTATATACAGATATATAGAAATTAATCTATATCTGTATCTATATCTATATCTATTTATCTGTTGCTTCCAATAGCATGGTTAAAAAGAAGTAGAGAAAAGGATGTCATCAAACTATGTATGAGTAAAAGAGAAGATGGTCTGGTTCCATATCAAGAGCAAGGGACAACCAAAGGCCAGCCAATGTGATCCTTGGGTGTATTTTCCAGGTCAAGAGACATTAAGGTGCCCAGCACATACCTCCTATGGTAAACTTAAGAGAAAGACTTCGATAAAGATAGTCCAGGGTGGGCAGGCTTGGATGAGTTACACTCTGCATTGTTAGAGAGAACACTTCAATCATTAATTGAATAACACATATGACTCTGTGTGTGCATGTGTCTATATATGTGTAGGGTGTCCCCCCAAATCCTTGTTTTTTAGCTTAAAACTGCACCAAAAGTCTTGAGACAACCTGTATATGTAAATACGTAGTCAAGGGGACATAAGACACTGGAGAGGAAGCTAGTTTGGAGTCAGGAAGACTGAGTTCCTCTCACATACACTGGCTGTGAGACCTAACAATGGGGAAAAAAGGTCATTTGTGACATCCCACCCTGAGACCTTAAAATGTCTGCCAATTTCTGGGTAAAAATATTGCTATCCAAGAATGCATTAGACACACTTCTCATCAGTTTGCAACCATGCCTCACAAAAAAACCTTCTTACACAACAATACCGGAGAGAACATGGAGAAAGGGGCATTTGCTCAAGCACACAGAACATCACAGGATTTGATTTCTGATTATGAGTATATTCAGAGTGCCCCATTAAGGGAGGATGGAGAACACCATAAATCACACAGGAAGCGGTATGAACTCTTTATTTACTTCTCAATGTGCTTTTCTGATGTCTCACTTCTGACACTGTTGATCAACCTCTTCTCTTGGATACTCTCTTCTCCCTAGGTTTCCAGGACACCACTCTACTCTGGCTCTCCTCCTACCTGTCTGACCACAGCTTCTCAGTCCCCTTACATCCAGGTCATTTCTTCTAACTGGGATTGCCCCACAGGGCTCTGTCCTGGGTCCTTTTCTCTTCTGCCTCTCTATACGATTTCACTTAGCCTTCTTATCAGCTCCCTTTGCTTCAGTTATCATCTCTTTGCAGCTAACTAACTCTCAGATCTCTTGGCCCTAACTTCTCTCCTTACCTGTAGACTCCCATTTCCAATTATCTTAAATTGGATGTCTCACAGACATCTTAAGATCAGCACACCCAAAACTGAACTCCTTTTCCCCTCAAATCCTCCCCTCTTTTTTTTTGAATGACATCAGATTTTATTTTTACACATAAAGAACAGAAAAAGACTGTATATGATATTGTGAATCTCTAGACATCTTATTTTTTAAAAGTACATATTAAATTTAACATGATAGTATCAATATTGGTCTGCTTTTGTCTTTTTTTTTGCTATTTTCTGCATAATTTAAAATATTTCCTTAGTGCTTTTTTTATCCCTATCACTCCCCTTTTCCTCAAAAAACAACTCTACCCAATAAAAACCCTCCAGAGTAACAGATAGCTATAGCTGAACAAAACAAATCCATCCTTTAGCTGTGGCTGAACATATATCTTTCATTCTTCATCTACAGGTCATTCCCATCCCCTTTCTGTGGAGAGGTGGGAAGGATGCTTCGTCATTTGTTATCTTGCCTAGTCTTTTCATTGATCAAAGTTCAGAAGTCTTTCAAGGTTTTCTTTTTTCTTTTTGATTGTTTTGTTTTGTTTTGTTTTTACAATATTCTAGTCATTGCATAACTTGTTTTCCTGGTTCTGCTCACTTGTTCTCTGAATACTATCCTATCATTATTTCTTATGGTTCAATTATATTCCCTTACATTTATATTGTTGTTCAGTGGCTTCAGTCCTATCTGACTCTTTGTGACCCCATTTAGGGTTTTCTTGGCAAAGATACCGGAGTGGTTTGCCACTCCAACCGAGGTAAACAGGGCTAAGATGCTTGCCCAGGGTCACACAGCTAATAAGTAAGTGTCTGAGGTCAGATTTGAACTCCGGAAAATGAGTCTTCATGACTCTATCCACTGCGCCACCATACTTTATTTAGCTATTCCTCTAATTGGTAAGCACCCAGTTTATTTTTGGTTCTTTGCTTCAATAAAAAGTGCTGCTGCAAATAGTTTTCTATCTCTCAGTTCGATGATCTTAAATGCACTGCCTTATTCCAGACCATGTAGCTAGCATTATGGGAAGCCAACCTACTATTTACAATTCAGGGTACAAGTCAATCAATGGCCTTAATTCATCCCTAATTACAGTCCAATGCATGCAGAAACATAGATTGGTACACAGGGAAGGGAATCTCTATGAGGTAAGCAGGCTTCTCAATACAAGCCATTTCCCACATAAAGTCTTATTGTACCAAAAAGACATAATTGTGCTGACTGCAAAACAGGTCGGCCACTGGCCTTGGGTGACGTCTGTCACGTTTCAGGGACAGGTCAGAAACTTCTTATTCTGCCAGTCTGTCATTACCCTCTGGGGTTTGAGACAGGGTGCACCATTTGTCTTTTGGTGCTCTTGCCCATGATCTTTTTTTTTTTCAACCAAAGACAAGGTTTATTAAACATCAGTCATATTGGCCAGACTCTTAAAGAATCTAAACATATTGATGCTCATTAAGATGAGAGGACATGAGGAAGTCTCAGCTTCTAAGTGGTGGCCAAGATGGATCTTATATGCAGAAAGATTGTGGGAGGGATCTAGGAGTAGTTTGAGGTGACTGGAGAAGGGGTATCTTGATGGGAGTGGCCAGTAAGCTGGGGTGACTGGAGGAGGGGTCTAGGGGAGATCTTGATGGGAGTGACTGGGAGGTTGAATGGGATCTAGATAGGATTAAGGGTGGGAAGCGTCCAGGGCAGTTGGGAGGTAACAGAACAGAATTGGGAAATTGGGTTTAGCCATAATGAAAGGTCAGTTGATAGGATTATAGCCTCAGGTGAACACTACAGATCTGGCCAGATGGGAAAGTTCAGCGTTTTTCCTTTCTGGGGTACACATCCAAAAGCCATGGCTTTTTCCTTTTAGGGGTTCAGATCCCACCCCCATCATTCCCCCCTCAAACAAATGGGACCCAAATTCTTTTGGGGTAAGGGAAGAAGGTCTTGGCTTCTGAAACTGCTTCCTGCTGGCAAGGGGCATAGAGTTGTCCCTGTCTTGAGAGGGTCTCCAAGAGGTTGAGTGGAACCGAGTACAGGCTGCATCCAGGGAATGATGTGGGGGGACATTGGCTGGTACCCACTGTTTGCTACCAACTGTAGGTGAATGGCCTGTAGTCTGGAAGACATAAATCTGACAGAAAAGACTTGCAGGTCCCATTTACATTTGACCTACAGGATTATCTGATCTTGTTATTTTTTCTAAAGTTGAAGTAACACTTTTGCAAGCAGAAGTTTTCCACCCCTGGGTTCAATAGTTACGCCAATGAATTTGCCAGAGGCAGACTTTCACTTCAGTTATCACTGAAATTGTCCTCCCCAAACCAAACTGAAGATGTTTCTGACTTAATTTCAGTTCTTTGGGGATACTGCATAACTACACATTTAAGTCAAAACAGCAAGATCTCACACACTTGCATTGATCTTTTACTGATCATTTGCTCTGATTATAGAAATCTGCTATAAAAGGATAAAGCAGGGACTACATTTAGGACCCAAATATGACAGGATAAAACATCCTTAGCTCTGTTTGGATTCAGATAATTCAGTTTTCCAACCATGCTGTATCAAATCCACCTCATAGCCAGACTCAGGAACAGCCAGGTGAGTAACATTCCTTTTCAAAGGAACATAAATGGGGAAACTGAGCCAGGAGGATTCCATCTTAGACTGAGGCTAAAATTGTCCTCTCAGCCTTTTCTGATGCTGACTTCCCACCAGTAACACATTCTCTCTGAGTAGCTTGTGGCATTTCTCTCAGGTGGTGGATTATTGATTATTGATGGTTATTATGATCCATTAGACAACACAAAAAAAAAAGTACCATGAGCTTTTACCTCAAACAGCAAGTTTCACTAATCACAGCTTGGGAAAAACTTTTCCAGGATTTACATCTCAAATTTAAATTTGTCCTACTGTAAAAAGCCAGTCATTAGAGATTATTTCTATATGCTTGCAAATTCTCAGCAAGACAAAACCCAAACAAGCTTTTTGGCAAGTTTACACATTAAAACAATAACCAGCAATAGCCAAATTATTTTAGTGCTAACCAAATTATGAAAAGTTGCTTGACATAACTGATACAAAAAGTTCACCATTTTGAAACTTAAAACAAACCCATCACCAATCAGGTGACTTCAATTTTATTAAATTCATTTCCAAATTACTTTACACAGAGAATCAACATCTCATCGTTAACAGTTAAAACTACAACTTTACAAGAGCGTGCTTACCCAAGTTCAGAGGCTAGCTTCTTTACCTTGAGCAGGATGATGTGCTGAACCTGGGTGATGCTTCCAGGCAAAGGTTGCCCCAGGGCCCAAGGCCATTGCCAGTGGGGCCCATTCTGTAACTGCTGCCTCTCCTCCATCCTTCTTTTCACCAGGTAGGGGAGGGCAAATTTAAAGGTATGTGTTGGGGTGGGAGAGTGAAACTCTCTTCTCCTATGACAGGGATTAACAGATATGCTCTTGACTGAAGGGAAGGGAGTGACAAGGGTGTGAAGAGATGTTTCAAAAGTCCTTAATGATTGATCACAAGACCTCCAGAATCAGCTGTTCTAACTCTTCCCTGGAGCCTCCTTGAAGGATTTAGGGGCATAGAAGAAAGGGAATAAGTATGCCTCAGGGAACCAAAAAGGACCTGCAGTTTTTCCAGTTTACTAGCCCTGAGAGAATTGACAGAATTGGGCATATACCTCCTGAAAGGGCATCCATCCTTGTCCTCTGTGCTGTGGGAGGTATACCCAGGTTCACAGTCTTGAACTGAACCAGTGGATTAGTAGCCTGAGAGCGTCAGGCTGAGTGGAAGACAGCCTCGTAATGGTCTGCCCAAAAAGCCCCTCCAAGTCTTCCTAGGTGCTTGGAGAGTGACCCTAACTGCAGGGCAAGAAAGGTGGGGGAAGGCTTACATACCTTCCAGTCTTGGCTGGAGAAGAGCTTGAGGTTATGCAGTTTCCCCATACAGGCCACCAAAATGTTGAACTTTAGGGGTTAGGGGTGCTGGAACCCCAAAATCAGAACACATAGGTTCTGCCTGTATGAATTTCAACCCAAGCCTTCTCTCAGCCAGAGACAAGGTTTATTAAAGATCCATATTAGCCAGACTCTTAAATAATCTGAGCACCTGTGAGTTATTGGTTAGATCATAAAAATCTGAGCAGTGGCTAGATTATAAGAATCTGAGCCCCCAAGCTCTTTTACTGTGACTGCCTTTGTACAGTTGCATCATACTGTGGCATTATTTACACTTCAGTATTTCCAGGATTGGTGTGGCCTCTTGCTCTCTGGATACAGATTGCAATCTTCCCAACTCCTGCATAGACAATCTCTTTATGGGCTGCTCTGTCAGGGCAAGCAGGGTAGCCTCTATATAGTGCTTTATTATCTTCCTCAGGCCTCAATTTCCTCATCCATAAAATGAAGAGGTTGTACTAAATGACATTGGAGACCCCTTCCAGCTTTCTATCTATGATCTCATAAGTCACTTACAAAACAAGGCCCCTTCCCCCTCTTCTGAACTCCATTATTACAGCTGAAGGCACTACTGTCCTCACAGAACTCAGCCTCACAACCTGGGTGTCATGCCCAACTTTTCATTCTGTCTCACCCACCATATCCAGTCAATTGTCAGG